TCGTTGGCGTTGGAATCACCTCAGTCCGCAATCATGCCAATATGTCACTGCATTTTGAGCGAAAATGTCGTCGCATGGTAAACTTCTAACATACAAAACTTTGACGTTATCGGAAAAGTAGCGGCAATTAAAGAAGTAGAAAAGGGGACAAAGAAAAAATCTGAGATTGCCATGGACTTTGGAATCCTTCCTAACACATTATCCACCTACTTGAAGAATAAATAAAAAGTATCAAGAGTGAAAGTGAGTGCGGTAAAGAACGAAAAGGTTAAAAGTGCCAGAAAATCCAAATTTAGACAGTTGTGCTTAAAAATGGTTCAAACAAGCCAGGGATAAGAAGATAGATAAGTGCCCCCCTTATAAGAAGCAAAGCTGAATAATTTGCTATTGAAATGGGGAAAACAATTTTAAGGTGAGTACAGGGTGGCTAGACTGCTTCAAAGAACGCAACAAAATTTCATTCAAATTCATTTGTGGAGACAGTGGGGCCGTTAATCAGCAGGAAGCCAACCAATGGAAAAAAAATTTGGAAGAGATTATTCAGGATATAAGTAAAAGAGATATCTTCAATGTTGACAAAACAGGTATTTTTTAAATGCACTCCTGACAAAACACTGGCATTTAAAAACGAAAAATGTCACTGAGGAAAACTAAGCATAGAAAGAGTCACTCTCCTAATTGGTGAACCATGGACGGATCAGAACCGCTTCTTCTTCTTGAGTGCCTTATCCGGTCCGGATGTTGGCGATTATTAAGGCTATCATGGTTTTGTTGACTGCTCTGTGAAACAGCTCTGAGGAGGTCATCCCAAACCATTGTTGAAGGTTTTTCAACCACGAGATACGACGACGTCCGGGTTCTCACCTGCCAAATCAGAAAAGCTGCCTCTGGTAAATTAAATGAGCAGCATCATCGAACCCTCAGAAAGTCTTCCAGATCTCCTGGCGAAGACACTGCAAGCAACCGTGCAACAAAAGAAAAACAGTTCTTCTCAGAACCATTGAACAATTGTACCATCAATCCGAGTATGCCAAATAAACATTGAAGGCATAAGCCGAAACAAAAGTGAATACATAAGCAAGCTTCTTGTAGTAGAAAACAACATTGACATAGCCACTGTTCAGGAAACACACACTTCTAACGACTTCCAACTGAACAACCGAGGTCAAATTCCAGTATACCTATACATTAGTAGTCTTACTCTATCACCCATAATATGGGATTGCTATCTACTGGAGAACAGACATATTACTGTATAAAAAATAATAAAACCATATACTCTCATTCATCCCAAGAACTTTGCATACTAGCAACCGTAATAGACAAAATCACAACAGGTAATGTATACAAACCACCAAACGCAATATGACCATCAGAAGTGCTTTATTCATTCCCGCATCTTTCAATATATTATAAAATAAACTTCAATAGTCATCACACTGTATGGGGTTATAACCAATGCAACCTTCAAGGCGAACAAATAATTGAATGTTTGGAGCTCATGCATCTTAGACTTTTGCATGATGCAAAACAGAAGCCTGCCTTTTTTCCGCTAGGTGGAGGCGTCAACCCAGATCTAACATTTATATCCACCAAAGACGATTGTCATAACCGTGCTACCAGAGAAGTTTTTAATAATTTCCAAAAGTTGCACCACAGGTCAGTAATAACAACTATGGGCATTAATATTTCCATTATAAACTCAATTCCTTTGCCTAGATGGAATTTTCGCAAGGCAAAGTGGAATACCAATCGAGCCCAATTGGAGAAAGATATCAGACATATTGAGCCTAAGGTAGAAAACTACCAAAAATGTTTCAAGCTTTTAATTAGATGTGCTAAAAACACATTCCACGCGGCCTAACCAAATCCTACATTCCATGCTGGATTGAATGATGTAAAGACATGACCAATATGAGCGAACCAGAGACCCAAACGTAGGTGAACAACTTCTAGAGTCTCTAAATTCTGCAAGAACCATAAGGTGGAGGGAAACTCTCGAAAACCTTCGCTTCACGCATGGCAGTCGCACTGCCTGGAACCTACTCAGAAAACTGGAAACAGGCCCTAACATCCCGACAAATAACTTTTCATTACCAAACCTAGAGCATTTCCCAGCTCTCCAAATCAGCCATAGAAAAAGTGCATAAAATAGAAGTATGGTATCAGCTTAAAATGATTAAAACAGCACATCAACTGAGCCTGCCTATCATGAGGCAAATAGAGAGCGAGGAACTTTTTAACGCACTAGACTTACTTAGTGTCGCAAAGCTACAGGAGTTGACAAAATGTATCCTGAGGTTATAAAACACACCGGTCCAAAAACTCGAAAGTGGCTCTAAGATTTCTTCAACCAGATAATGACGACAAAAGCTTCCTAAACTATTCAAACAAAGCAGTCATCGCAATCTGCAAACCAGACAAAGCCACTTCACTACTGGAGAGTTACAGACTAATCGCCTTTTTAAGTGTCTGCTATAAGATTTTTGAGAGGATAATCTACGCGAGGCTTTTACAATATGTCAGCGGAAAGATTTCCGTAGAACAAGCTCTATCATATAAAAAATGACCCACATTGAATGCTTTGGGATCCCTGAGTGAGGGGTAAACATTTGTGATTTATTACTTTTGTTGATATAAGGTTGAATGCTCGAATAAATGAACTTTGATCAAATGAGAGGCAGACATCAAGCACAGTTTATTAATTAAATCTTGCCCAAGTACTTTCGCTTCCTAGAGCATCTTCATGGGCATTTCGTCAAATTTGGCCTATTCAACAATCTGTTGAGAATGGCATAAACAAACAGTTTAAAGTTTTTAAAAAACGGCGAAGCTACATATTTGTTGGCACACTTTTGTTGTGTCGTGTAGTGTAATGTACACTTTTATGTTTACGACATTCTCAACAGATTGTTGGATAGGCCAAATTTGACGAAATGCCCTGAATTGCTCTAGGAAGCGAAAGTACCTGGGCAAGATTTAATTAATAAACTGTGCTCGATATCTGCCTTTCATTTGATCAAAGTTTATTACTTTTGTGTTCAACACACTTCTTTCTGTTAAAGTGCCGTCCTACGGAGGTTGGCAATCATAACATAATTTTTGTTTTTGAACTTGCTGCTCTAAACAAATTAATCGATCTGCATTGATACTGATCACGTAGATTCTTCAACCAAGAATTCTGCTTTCGGCGAACAGATTTTCTTCCTTGAATCTTTTCCTGTATTATAAGTCCCAAAATTTGAGATTTTGGTCCTCCAATCACGTGGTCTAGGTAGGAATTCCAATTTTCTTGTTTGTATAGTGGTGATTACTTTTGTTTCTTTACCAACCCTCTCCAATACTTCTTGTGTATGTGTGATTTGGATATTGACTGCAAAACCAATGATTTCATTCGCCTACCAATACTTCTTTATTTATATTTGTATTAGTCCATATTTTTAATACTCTACCATATAACCAAGTTCGAAAGTCTCGATTCTTGTTTTTAAATTGCATTTTTTAATGTCCTAGTCTCAGCTCCTTATAACAATAATATTGAATAACATCGAATGATATGTAGTCTGATTTCCAAATTAAGATTTGTGCACGTTAGGGACATAAAATTGGAAATAAAAGTTCGTTTACTAAAATGCTGCGTATTTTCCGTTCTTTTATATGGCGTAGAGTCATGGACCTTAACTGAAGTATCACTGAAGAGACTCGAAGTATTTGAGATGTGGTGCTATAGACGCATGTTGAGGATTTCCTGGATAGACAGAACTACCAACGAAGAAGTACTACATAGAATGGGTAAAGAGCGCGAACTAGTCGTAACCATAAAACGTCGCAAACTAGAATACCTGGGCCATATAGTGCGCAATGAACAACGATATGACCTACTTCGGAGTAAAGTGCATGGGAAAAGAGGTCCAGGACGGAGAAGAATATCCTGGCTGCATAACCTGCGAAAGTGGTTTAACTTAACCACTACCGGAATTTTTAGGACAGCAGTCAACAAAGTCAGAATAGCTATGTAAAGGTCAATTCAGACACATCAGTCACGTCTCGTCACAGTGATTGCGCCGAATCGGACAATCCGTCATACAAAATATTCTTTAATACAAATATGTTGCCGGCATTCACACTCTTCAGTTGACAAACAGTTTCCCAGCTGTCAGATAGTTGATAGTTCTGTGACCAAATAGGACCGGTTCGGTACCGTGACTGTGACGTGACTGATGTGTCTGAATCGACCTTTAGTGTCCAACATCCGTAACGGATAGGCACCATAAGAAGAAGCACGTTAGGATATACGATACTGATATTTTTCTGCTTGTGCTATCACATTACCATTTATTGTCAATATGCATACTTGCAATACTTTTTATACCTTAAAACCCTAATTACAAATGCAGTTATTTGCCTGTTGATTGAGTATTGAACTTGAATACATTTGATAATAACAAGTGGCCATTATATTTATATGTTCTGAAATATAATACCGTTAAATATATATGAAATATTGAAATCGTTCTGAAAATTTAGTAAGCATATTTCACCCCTATATTTTTGGTAGATGATATTAGTTATTCTTTTGATTTATAGTGAGATTTAGATATCTGTTCTTTTTTTCTACCTTCTTGCGTTTGTATGTCTTTATTTACTTTAACAAACAGATTTCGTCTGTGAATGGAATACAGAGTGTTAGGCAAAACTTATTACATTAAATGTGATGTACATATAATTTAAATGTCAACGTCAACATTGAATTTACGTACGTCAACCTCTTACAAATGGAATGACAGGAGAAACATTTTAAAATAACATTTTTGTTTGTATTTGCTATTTAGCATATTTTAAATTAATTGACATGCTAAGGCAATTAAAATATAGTATTATATTCTTTAGTTAAATATATTATTAATTGAAAGGAGTGCCCAAAATCATTCGTATTTAGTGAATGTTAAAATCATGTTCAATATATTTCAATAAAATTTTGTAGGAAGTGACTAAAGACGATGGATCTGGCTAAATCATTATTTGAAACTAGGAACCATGAAGGTTACGTTGGAAAAGAAGCTAACACGGTAACTATTATATTTCAGATGTTTAGCTTCTCTTCTATTTGTTACCCTTACCACCTTTTACCTTGTTTTTAACAATCTATTTATCTGTGCATTTCATAATATCATTTTTGAATGTGGTCCTACCATTCATTTCTTCATTCTTCTCTCTTTTTGAGCTAGAGCCAATCCAACTACATTTAATTTTACATCATATGGACTCCCCAATATGGTGTATGTTTCCACACATATATTTCATCTCTGTAGACACTGTTCCGTCTTACTACACTAGTGCCCCTGTTAGGTATATAAGACATCTTTTAGTTGTATAACATAAGCCTCATGCTTGTGTAATATGTTAGTACTGGCAAATAGCACATATCTGCATATATATTTCAGAAAAGAGAATTTGAACAGGTGATAGAACCAGATGATGTAGATGACAGTATTGCTGAGAGTTTCAGCCAAGGATTGACTGTCTCAGATACAATACTACCTACTCCAGGAAGTCCATTTTCAGCATTGACCCCTAGCATGTGTCCACAGGATATTCTTGCAAAACAGACAGTGCCAGATGATCCAAATTCACAGCCCGAATATAGGTAAGTTTATTAACATTAGTATAGTCAGCACGTAATTTCGTGAGAAAATTTACAGAGACCAAAGCAAGCAAGTTTCATTTTCTATAAAGTTTAAATAAAAAATATCGGTGTTTTTAACTTCTGTGATATATCTTGGGAGTGATAACACTAATTGACTCAACTGAACAGAACTTATTGTGAAATAATAATATCTATGTCAAACATTGTTAATAATAGTAGTTATTCAGCGAGAATGACAGTGACTGTTTCAGTTGACATAATTCCCTAAAACATTAATAATTTTTTACCTATCAAGAAGTGTGTTTATACTCTGTTTTCAAAGATGTATAAGCAAAATGAGAATATCTACAATTAAAATAGAGATAAAGGTTTCAACTAACACCTAATAAGTACTTACTATCTACTCAGAATCACTGTTATCACTAGTATCACTCGTATCATCTAAATTTATAGGTAATTTGGTTAATGCTGGTAAATATTTAACATAGTCATTTTCCACTCCGATCACATGTTTTATTTTTATTACATTTTTCCAGTTGGTTGCTGTAATTTTTGTGACTTCTCTTCTAATTAACTGGAGAACAGTAGACAAAAAATTTTGGAGCAACTTTTCTTCTCATTATATTTCCTTTAAGTTGAGCCCATATTAACTCTATTGGGTTCAATGTACAATGATAAGGAGGAAGTCTAAACACAGTATGTCCGTTACTACGAGCACAGTTGTCAACAACATACTCCTTTTCGTACTGTTTACTATGACCAACCTCCAAAAATTGCTTTTTATTATAAGATGTCTCAAAATACAAATCTTCCGTGAATAAAAATTTCTGAATTTTTAATTTATTGCAATTATTATTTGAAGTTTTTTTCATTAATCTTGAATGATATGATGCGTTGTCCATGATAATCACACTATCTTTAAGTAATTTCGGAAGAAGATATTTTTCAAACCATGATTCAAAAATTGAACTTTCCATATCATCATGATAATCCAGAGACGCGTTTTTAATTTGTTTTGCAGATATTAATAATGCATCGTGGACCCATCCATTTTCTCCACCACATTGTAAAATTATAATCCTCTTTCTTTTATTGGGCGGTACTGAGTTGAAACACTTTTTGTTATTATTTGTCCAACTTTTTTTTCACGGTGTCATGAGTATCATACCAGGTCTCATCTAAATAAACAATATTTCGTTTCATTTTTCAATACTCAGTTATCTGTCTGATATAATTGTTTCTTAAAGAAATTATTCTAGTACTTTCCATTAATGTCTGTCTCTTGTCTATAGTTTTGTACTTAAAATTATTGGCTTTAAGAAATAATCAAAGTGTTGTTGCTGAACACGAGAGAATGCACTTTCGAACTAATTCACTTCGAAGGCTTTCAATAGTTGGAAAAATATTAGCCGCATACATTTGGTATATTGTTCTAGTTATAGATTCAATTAAGGGTGGTTCTATTTTTCTGAATTTGCCACAATCCTTTCTCTTCTGTCTATAAGAAGATGTTTCTCTTATAATTTTGTAGCAGGTTGCTTTGGGCACTCTGGTTAAAAAACATGTTTCTGCAATTGCCTCTGATTTAGACAATTCAGCACACAGTCCTTCATAAACATTTTTTAGCATACATTTGGCATCATCAGAAAGATATGGAAAATGTCGCTTACGTTTTACTACACGCCTTTGTAAATCTTCCAATCTATTAGAGGGTTCCATTGTCTCTTCAGCTACATAATTATTATCGCACCACGGACGCAATATTTTAAAATTATCAAACGTATAAAAACATAATCACGTAAAAACGTATCAAAAAAAGTAAAAAACGTGAAATATAAAATGTTTTCCGTATAAAGAACACTGAAAAAAGTCACTACCAAACTAACTTGCGGTTCACTATTTGAAATTTAAATTTAACTGAACGCTGTAGCAGTCATGATTTTACTAAAAATATTCTTGTCTCCCAAAAATCTGTTGGTCATATCCGCAATTTAAAAATAAAATATTATAAAAATTTGCCTTCCTAAGTTTTCCACGTCCCGTGCCTTCGGCACTGGACGGTCGAAACCTGATCCCTTATTTTATGACTCCGTAAGCTCAGTCAAATACTGATATAATCTTACCCCAAGTATGAATAAGTCTACCGACAAAAGATAATGCATTATGATTTGTCATAACAGCGATATCCGATGTTTTCATTGGCCGTTAGTCCACGTGGACTTATCATAAGTTCGATGAAAATTTAATTGGTTGATTGTTCATATCTGGTTCATATTTTAAAAGATTATACCAGGCATGTCTGAATGTTAATATCGAGTGGAATCTGGAAACTTTGTATTATTATATGTCTGAGTCATTGATAATTTTACAGACTCCTGGTAGAGTACCTTTTTGTTGAATTATTTTATTACAGATACATATATTTTTGCACAGTCTCACGGAAATACGAGGCTACTATACATTGGATATTTTTTAAAAACAACTTTTTTACTTTAGTGTTCTGTTTTTAGGTTTGATGAATTTGGATTTAGGGTAGATGAGGAAGATGGTCCAGAACAAAATTCCAATAAACTTTTAGGAATACCTTTTGTGGAAGACCCACAGCATAGGTAAATTTGTAAACAGACCATTAATGATTTTGTTATGAAGCTATTTTCTTGTGGTTTTATAATATTAATGGGCTATCATTAATGGGCATTACGGCACATGTTTCAGATTAAAATATGTATTTTTTCTATTTATATTTCTGAAATTTGTATTTTGACATTTATTCAATTTTTAGGTTGCAATGGGTGGCCCATCTTGAATTTTCTCACAATAAGGAAGTTTCTAGTTTAACATGGGACAAAGTTGATCTAAGATTACCAAGGACAGATAAACTTGCTTCTATGGTCAGGGCTGGTATTCCCCATTCTCTAAGACCCCAGATGTGGATGAGAATGTCTGGAGCTTTAGAAAAGAAGCAAAAGTCTGAATTATCTTACAAAGATATTGTAAAAATGTCCAGCAATGATTCATTGATGATGTCCAAACAGATTGAAAAAGATCTGTTACATATTATGCCTACAAATGCTTGTTACAGTAATATTAATAGTACAGGTATTCCAAGACTGAGAAGAATGTTAAGAGGCATTGCTTGGCTGTATCCAGAAATTGGGTAAATACAAAATATAACTCTATTATAACATTTTCATTTCAAAATGTTATTTTTGGGTAAATTTTCTAATAACTACTCTTCCCTTCAGACTTTAATATAGTTCTTTTAAGTTCAGAGGTCTAATAGATATTAATAATATTTTAGATACTGTCAAGGAATGGGAATGATTGCTGCTTCTCTTATATTATTTATGGAAGAAGAAAGCTCATTTTGGATCATGGTTACCATAGTTGAAGATTTATTACCAGCATCATATTATAATACTACACTTATAGGTATTTATCAAATAGTTTTTAGGCTTCTGTAAGTTTTATAGTCAAGAAAATACAATAGTAAATACTAGGAATATACTATAACCATAACTCTAATTGCTAGTTTTGTCCATTATTGCTTTTTTCCCCTTTTTTCCATAGTTAATTACTGCTCTTTTTTACTTGATTTATATTTCTTCTGGTTAATATTTATATTACTGTTATTTTTTATGTGTACTAATTTTGCCAGTTTTTACTTTGTGTGAATATTGTGCTTTTTTGAATACAAAAATTCAAATATTATGTCTAAAGAATTCAAGTGTCAGTTCTTGTATTAAAATTCATATTTGTCATAAAATAGGTTTTTTATTATCATCATCATTCAATCTTCGCTTATCCACTGCTGGACATAGATGCTTCTTGACATCTTGTGCCTCTTGCATCCAATTCCTATGACAACATTTTAGATCGTCAGTCCAATGTGTTGGTGGATGACCTCTACTTCGGTAGGCATCATGACACCTTTAAAACCTTCAATCAGTGTTTTTTATTATATCATGTTGATACATTTTTGGCAAAGTAACGTAAGTGCCATTTTTGGCGAAAATCATGTTTTTCAATTAAACTAACACTATTATTGTTAAAAAGGTACTGCCAAAGTGTAGTAAGCCTAGAATTACTTTAAACCTTTTTTAGGACAAGTAGGGCAAGTTTTTTCAGTCATAATTTAAATAAGTTTAACCAGGTTGAATTAAAAAATTGTTTTTTCTAAAAATCGTGTTTGGTGACTTACGTTACTTTGCCAAAAATGTATCGATGTATTATTATATTACAGGTATTCAAGCTGACCAGAGAGTATTACGAACTTTGATCTCAAGCTATTTACCAGATACAGATGAAGTATTAAAGAACCATGACATTGAATTGTCCCTAATAACTCTTCATTGGTTTCTGACTTTATTTGCTAGTGTTGTTCACATGAAGATTTTACTGAGGATATGGGACTTATTTTTCTTTGAAGGATCAATTGTTTTGTTTCAAATTACTCTTAGTATGTTAAAAATGAAGGAGCCATATCTCAAAGAGCTGGAAAATTCAGCTCAGATTTTTAATGCCTTGTCTGACATTCCAGGGGATATAGATGATGTAGACATGTTGTTGGAGGTAAATGTTTATAATATATTTACACAAAATAACAATAATACACAATTATTTACTTGAGATATTATATTATGTTACTAAAATGTTGTTCTTTTTAGGTGTCCAAAGAATTAACAGGATCATTAAGTGAAGTTATGTTGGAAACTTATCGTAGAAGACATTTAGCTTATCTAATGGCTGATCAAGGTACTTTGGTAGGAAATCCTGAAGCAGCACCTAATCTTCCAAAACAACATCTTGCAAGGTAAATGATTGTTTTGTGTAGTAATAATAATAATACATGTACTTTCTGCTGCGATTATATCTGTTAGTCCAGTGAATAAGTGGTTAAGTTGATTTTTTGCCAAAATGGGTTAAGTGTACTAATGAGGACAGAATGACTTCTCAGATGTTGTGAATAAGTAGTTATTATACTCAGTGTTGTGAAATAAATATTCTTTTTTATGCTTGTCATTAAATCAAAAAATAACTTAGATAGATTGGCTAATTTTCATTAACATATTGAGGTGAATAACTGGGTAAGTCGACTGCGAATAAATGGTTAAGTCTCATATCCCATTATCCTAATCACGTAGTAATTAAATAATGAGACCAATAATATGTTTGTATTCTATCATCATCATCATCACTGGCTCGACAACCCTTTTTGGGTCTTGGCCTGTTCAAGGATTCTTCTCCATTCTGACCTGTTTCGTGCTTTTCTTTTCCAGTTTTTAATTTTTAATGTTGTTATATCATTTTCTATTTGTTCTACGTATCTCAACTTCGGTCTTCGTCTTGTTCTTTTTCCTACTGGCACTTGTTTGAATATTTTGTTTGGTATTTCGCCTTCTTCCATTCTTTCCACATGTCCAATCCAACGTAGCCTTCCTATTTTAATGAATGTTATGATATCCGGATCCTGGTATATGTTCTATAGTTCAAAGTTATACCTTCTCCGCCAAATCCCGTTTTCTTTTGTGCCCTTATATATGTGTCGCAAGATTTTTCTTTCAAAGGTGGCTAATAACGTTTCCTCCCTTTTAGAGAGTGTCCAGGTTTCTGAACCGTATGTGAGTACCGGTCTTATTAAGGTTTTGTATATTTGGCATTTTGTTTTTCTGGAGACGTTATCTGATCTTAGTTGCCTAATTAAGCCATGGTAACATTTATTGGCAATAAATATTCTCCTCTTCACTTCCTCTGCAACGTTGTTATCAGACGTAACTAGGGATCCTAAGTATGTAAAGTTTTTTACCGCCTCAATGTTGTATTCTCCTATTGTTAAATTTGGCAGCTGCCTTATTTGTGCGTTTTTATTTGCAGGCATATATTTTGTTTTTGTCTGATTGATTTTAAGACCACTATTTTTTGCAGCTCGTTCTATTTGAGTGAATGCCTCTATCATTTATCTTCTTGATCTTGCGATTATGTCAACATCATCTGCAAATGCTAGTACTTGCACGCTTTTATTAATTATTGTTCCTCGGGTATTAACTGTTGTGTCTCTTATTATTTTTTCAAGTATGATGTTGAATAATATGCATGATAGAGCGTCTCCCTGGCGTAGTCCCTTCTTCACATCTATTGTTTCCGTTAATTCGTTTTGTATCTAGATTTTACTTTCTACTTTTAGTGTTTCTTTTATCAATTCTATTAGCTGTGTTGGTATATTAAATTCTTTCATTGCTTTTGTTAGGAATTCTCGGTTTATATTGTCATATGCGCTTTCGAAGTCTATGAAGAGATGATGTGTGTCGATGTTATATTCACTTGTTTTTTCAAGGATCTGTCGCAGAACAAATATCTGGTCTATTGTTGACTTCTGTCTACAGAAGCCACATTGGTATTTGCCAACTATTTTTTCAGCGTATGGTCTAAGTCTTTCATACATTACGTTGGGCATTATTTTGTATGCCGCATTCAACAGCGTGATTCCACTGTAGTTTTCACATTCTAACTGGTTTCCTTTTTTATGTAGTGGTATAATAATGCCGCTATTCCACTCCTTTGGTAGCTGTTTATTCAACCATATCTTTCTTATCAGCTCATGTATGGCTTTAAGTAATGCGTCTCCTTCTTTCAGTAGCTCCGATGATATTTGATCCGATCCCGGTGATTTATTGTTCTTTAATTTGTCCACTGCTGTTCTAATCTCTGCTATTGTTGGTGGACTCTTTTCTCTGTTGTCTGCTTGGTCTAACGGTATATCAGGGTTCATCTCCGTCCTATTCACCCCAAGCTTTTCCTTAAAATGTTCTGTCCATCTTCTAAGTATCTCTTGCTGTTCTGTCAATATATTACCCTCCTTATCTTTACACATCGTTGTTCTCGGTTTGAACTCTTTTCTGCTTTTGTTGAGTTTCTGGTAAAATTTTCTTGTCTCTGTTGGTTTACTTAGTTCTTGTAGTTCTTGAAGTTCTTTGTTGATATATTCTCTCTTCTTTCTTCGGTGAATTTTCTTTACGTAGTTGTTTATATTCTTCCTCTGCTTGTCGGGTTCTGTGCCTCTGTTGCATCTGTAGATATGCTCTGTTTTTTCTTTCTGTTATAGTTTGACATTCTTCGTCAAACCAGTGATTCGTTCTTGTTCTTCTTTCTTTACCTTCCATGCCCAGCACCTCTTTAGCTGTTTCTTTTATGATTTCTCTGCACTCTTTCCATTCCTCATTTAGGTTTTCATGTTTTAGTCTGTTTTCTAGTTTGATGCTTATATTTTCTTTGTACTCTCTATTTTTGTTTGTTTCTTTGAGTCCTTCTATATTGTATCTTTCATGTTTAGAGCCTCTTTCCTTTTTGATGTTTGAAATTCTAACCCTTATCCTACTTTCGACCAGGTAGTGATCAGAATCCGCATTTGCCCCTCTTCTGGTACGGACGTTTATTATATTCGATTGGTGTCTTGAGTCTACAATAACATGATCTATCATATTCACTGTAAGTCCGTCTGGTGATTTCCAGGTGCCTTTGTGTATATCTTTTCGAGCGAAGTATGTGCTGGCAATCACCATGTTAAGTGATCTTGCTAGGTTTACCAACCTATTGCCATTGTCATTTGATTGCTCATGGAGACTGTGCTTACCTATTGTGGATTGGAATTGCTGCTCTCTTCCAACTTTTGCGTTTAAGTCTCCATAAATTATTTTTATATCACTTTTTAGGCATGACTGGTATGCGGACTCTAATTCATCATAAAACTCTTCTTTGACTTCCTCTTCCTTTTTCTTCTGTGGGGGCATGCGCATTAATTAGGCTGTAGTTGAAGAAACGTCCTTTAATTCTTAAAATACACATTCTGGGACTGATGGCTCTGAAATCTTTTATTATATGTCTTACTCTCTTGTTAACTATGAATCCAGTGCCCAAAATGTGATCTTTAGGAGCGCAGCTGTAGAAAATGGTATGGCTCTTTTTTTCCATAATATTGTTTCCAATCGACCTCATTTCTTGTATGGCAGTTATGTCAATTTTGTATCTACTTAGTTCGTTTAAGAGATTTTGGAGAGCCCCTAATCTGTACAATGTTCGAACATTCCATGTCGCAACCCTCAAATCGTGTTCCTTTTTCTCGCACAGTCGTCGTCGTTTAATCAGTCCGGCTTTTCTTTCTTGAACGTTCATAACTCATGGTTTTTCTAGGAGAAGGTAGTTAACCTTCAGCCCAACCCCCTATTCGTCGGAGGACCAAGACTCCCTTCTTCGTCAGCCCTGACCCCACCTTCCATTGGGGGTTGGTTACCCAATCTCCAGTGGGTTTGCTCAGGTTACCGGTGTGTACCAGCTTGGAGGTGAAGATTGGAATTGAGTAGGAGAGGCTAAGTGACGCCAACAGGATACGGCATCATATATTGCGCTTCACTACCCCTTCACACACCTTGTATTCTATCATATAAAATCGATTTTTGACATGTTGTCAAAACTGGTAAGTCATCTCCCGAAAACTATGCAACATTGATTTAACTACTTATTCACTGGAGTAACAGATATATAATCACAACAGTGAATCATAAAAAAGGCTAAAGGAAGACCCTAATAATTACCGAGCTTTTAATTAGTTGTGAAAAGGTAGAAGTTGTGAAAAAAGATAGAAAGATAAGAGAAGTGAAAAAACAAATAACACAAAAGGATGAAGAATGGGAAAGATCCTGCTTAAATATTGAAACATACAAAGGAGGTACAATATCTTCGGAGTCATGGAAAGTAATGACAGGATTGAAACAAAACTCAAAAGAAAAAATTAAATTGGGAAATATACAGGACAAAAAATGGAAGGACTATTACAAGGAACTGTTAACAGAACAAAGACCACAGTTCATTGGAAAAGAAAACAGGCGACGACAAAGCAGATCCCCACAACACGAAATGGAAATAACAGATAGGGAAATGAGAAAGGCCATAAAAGCAATAAAAAATTATACACACTGGAACAACTTTTTGAACAGAAAAAAGCAAAAAATAGAGATATACATTTGGAATTTGTGGATCTGAAAAAGGCGTATGACTCTATATAAAGGTCAGAACTATGGGAGGCAATGTATAAATTAGAAATACAGACGGAACTCATAGAAGCTACAAAAGCTCTGTATAAAGAAAATAAAGTGTCTATTAAAATGAGAACAATAATCATAGGAGACTTCACCACAACAAAGGGCTCCACATCTGCAACCTTATTCAAAATATACTTGGAGAAAGCCTTGACTACATGGAAAAAATGCGAAGGCATTAGATCATATCTAATGCCTTCGGAAATATATGTCAGAAATAAACTCAATATTTTGCATAGTTATGCTAACTTAAATAAACTAGGAGTACCGGTACGAAACGAATACCTATATATATTAAGCTTTGCAGACGATCAAGTAGTGATTGCACAAGACCAAGAAGACCTCAGTTACATGATGAAGAAACGACAAGAAGAATATACCAAGGCTGACCTAGATATTAACTTCGCGAAAATAGAGTACCTATCTACAAGTGAAGAAGACATAGAAGACCTACAGATTAACGGTAACATAACAATCAAAGGAAAGGATAAATTCAAATAATTGGGGTTTATAATTACGAAAAAGTCAACAACAGAGTAATAAATTAAGCAAACATTAGGACAAACAAGAACAGCAATCCGACGACAATTTAACTTAGTATGGTGGGATAGACACCTAAATATGAAGACAAAAACACATAATTAATGAGAAAAACACCGTAATTGGCTGTATACCATCGTTTAAAAAACACAGAAGTTAAAACACTTCACAATTGTGTATT